GGCCTTTAATTGAACAAACGAGACATTTCCACCATTTGCGTCTCTCGAATGTTCCGAATCGCGCTAGTTTATTTAAGCGGAATAATAATGCTTGTAACTCAATGCATTTGTCTTCTCAACTATAAATGCTAACATGCAACCGAGGCATTCCGAAGCAAACACCCCTTCAATTCAGTGATTTCATCTACCAGGTAGCCTGAAATCAATCAATGCGAGACGCAGTTTCGGCAGTGTAAACGGAGATAAAGTGAACAAAAGATCAAATTCGACGCACACAAGAACATGGGAAATGATAAAGCATGCATTCGTTTGCGCCTATAGGCGCTCTAGGATGCAGAGGTCAAGTTTGAAATGGTTAAAGATTGGAAAGATAGAAGGCCGACAATGGGGTTTAACACACCTTTATTTAGAAAAAACTAAAGTGCAAATGTCATGCAGCGCAGTTTGACCAGATAATAGTGCAATCGGCAGCTTAAGTAGATGAATACCTACTATAGGGTTTAGGTATTACCGACCACACTTAAGGCTGGCCAGGCGAGCTCCAGATCTAGTTCACGGCATGACAGCCAAGCGATTAATGTCAAACTTAAGCCACCGAACTGTTGAGAGGTAACAATTGGGGAGAAACGCGAAGAGTTCGAATCATTTGGTAGCAAGTAGTAGGGCAAACATTTAACCAGATAAAGTAAGCTAAAGAAGTAGGAATGTGTCGGAATGGGAGTCAGGTGGTAAGCAAGCAGAGCGAACAAAGAAATACTGAATCAACAATGAAACAGAATAATCCTCTGATTTTATGCGTGCATAAAACATACCTCACTTCCGGATGGCAAAAGACCCTGTGGTTAAAATAAAGAACGAAAACAAATGTTGGTTTGCAAAAATGCATACTAGTGAGTGAGTCCCTGTAAAATGAAACAGTTTTAATCCTTTTTTGGCAGTAAGAAATTTGCAGTTCAATTGTTTATAAAGTTGAGCAACTCATTTTGCCCAGCAAGAGGGATAACCAACTCCATAAATGGACACTGACGCCAAAACAGTGCAGTCCTTCGAATGATTCAGTGCAGTGCACAGTCGCATTAGACTGACCTTGTTTTAGCTAAAAACTACCGGTAATACTAGCACCGTAATGCATTGAATATCAACATGCACAACTGATATACGTTATCAATGCAAGAGTAGTAGGCCCATGTGTGAGCACAAGATGACGAAGCAATCTGTATCACTTGATCCAAAAGAGAAAGCATGGATTAATGCATCGAAAAATTTATGCAAGTTTGAGTCCTTCGCTATGTGCATCCTAGCAAAGAATAACTAATAAACCGAAACATCTTTTTTTGACATTCTTTCCACATCTATCTTCCCTTTTCTACTAACTGATATCTATTCGACCTTTGTAACAAGTAACCTGTAATGCAAGGCTTCAGATGCG